ACCCTAAACCCCAAACCCTAAGTGGCAGGCTACGAGACGGCGAACCCTTACGTCGCTTGCAGCTCTGACTCCGACGAGGGCTTCTGCAAGCACGTGGACACCTCCTGCAAGGCCGGCTCAGGAGGGCCCGGGCTCTCTCCAACATCTGCTGGACATACTATAGTAACATATACAGTAGACAGTATGCGATACTATACTATACTATAGTATACTATGGTATAGTATGCAGTATACTATACTATACTATACTATACTATACTATACTATACTATACTATACTATACTATACTATACTATACTATACTGGATGTCACACTTCTGCTCGGTCTAGGCGCTCAACGTGGCCCGCACCTGCGGCAGCTTCTCGCAGGAGGGAGGGCCATGTGCCTTGGCCCACGGAAGTTGCACTGCTTCGCTGTGTACCGAGCCGCTCACGAGACTGCGAGGCACCGGCCTTGGTGAGTTTCCCAACGCGACGATTTCGGACTATGGCTCCATTTCTGGTCAAAGCCTGAGATTATGTAGGATCGAGATAGTCGTGGCGATTGTGGAAGCGAAGGCGCTGACGCCATGATGAAGGAGATCTTTCACCGTGGTCCTATCTCATGTGGTGTCGATGCCAATCCCCTGCTGAACTACGAGTCTGGCATCTTGGCACACGCATTGATGTATCGCGCATGTGGTGCGTCGCAGCAGATGTGGCGTCCCACCAATGTGTTTACGGTAACTCCGAATGCCAGTGGCAGTCTCGCAGGCATCATCAAGACGAAGGGTGAGGGTGTCGATCATGTGGTGTCTGTGGTTGGCTGGGGAACCGATTCGAAGGCTGCGAGAGAACATCTGCTTCGTGCTGTCCAGCCTTGGAAACATGTTGCCGTCAATCATGTCGCCCCTGAGGATGGCATGTACTGGATCGTCAGGACACTGTCTTGCGGTCTTGCTGCTCTGGTGTGTGGAGCAATTATGTTGGAAACGAAACGAAGCGCGCCTCACTGCTTTGATGTGATAGGGATCTCATTGCTCCCCCGCAGCAGTTTCCTTGAGTAGCGTGAATGCTTTTGCTTGATGTTCAGACTGCGTGTTCTGCCAGGAACTCTTGGGGAGAGTATTGGGGAGAGATGGGCTATTTCAGGCGGGGCATACAAACAAGTTTCCGCGACTGTTGCTGCAAGTGATGTCTGAAGCAGTGCATGGCAAGGCTTCGCAGCCCTCACAAGTGCCCTGTATTGATAATCTGTCGTGGCACTTGCAGGGTGGCAAAAGGTGCGCTCCTCCTCGAGGAGCTGTTTTCCGTGGCAGTCCTGCAGTTTCAGACTCTGTGTTTCCTTTGGGAACTTGCCGGAATTTGCCACTTGTCGGTCCTCTTGGCGCTCGCTCACTCGCTTCGCTCGTGTGTTCATGTGTTCCTTAGCCCGACCGAAGCTAGTAGAGGTTGGGTTGTGTGAGTGCGAGCACATGTTTTGAGGGTGCCTCCAAGCATCCTATGTAAGCCGAATCAATTCTCAAATTTCTGAGCAGTGCACTCTGGTGGTCAGTCGCGTTCAGCAGCATGAACGGAAGCAGCAAGCAACTCATACACGGTCACTTGTGGACAGTTGAATATTAGCAAGCATACACGCTGAACACCTATTCCGTATCCAGTCTCCGGGATCCAAGATATGGAAACCGAAGAGCTGGAGATCGCTGTGTACTTTACAAGCGGTACTGAGAACCAAGTTCGAGATAAGACAGCGCAACCTTGAAGATACATGTCTGGCCAGCGAGACCAAGCTTGTTGTTGATTGTTGTGCACGTCTGCGCATGCACCCATGTTCCTACAAGAACTCTCACACCACAGATTGCGACAGCCGTGCACGTCTACATATGCCCGCATGCACATGAACTCTCACACCACAGATTGCGGCATACGCAGTCATGTCAAATCGCACAACCTAGCAACAAACACTTTCAGATTCGAATTGCAAACTGTTTGACCACCAGCTACGGACTCAGCCACCCATGTGCGTCTTTGCAGGTACGTTTACCTGCTTTAATCCAAGGTGCAAGGTCTGTCGCATGTACAGCAGAATAACACAAACAGGTCCCGAAGGAACATCTGTAGACCGTACAAAGCAGTCCGGCGCCACTGAGCACAGAAGACATGGAGATGTGCACACTTGATGGTTTTAAAGGTGCCATATCAAGTTCATGAGCGTCTTCCAAGACGTTCTGCATCAGTGACTATTTATCGACCCTGGGAACGGACTTCCGACATCCTGCAATATTTAATCGTCCAATGCACCAAACACAACCAAGCTGCATCAAAAAATACCTGAATATCGACATTGCCAATGTACCGGATACATCCAAGCAGCATCAATGCGACGAAGCCACCCAATCATGCTGACGCGAGCCGACAAGCGAGCTTGGAAGGCAAAGCTTCGCC